CAGCTGGAGCGGCAGCGCGGCAGCTCCCTCCGAGGGGCCCGTGAAGCTGCACGAGGGCTCCCAGGTGCTCCTGACCAGCTCCAATGAGATGGGCACCATCAGGTACATCGGCCCCACAGACTTCGCCCCGGGCATCTGGCTGGGGCTGGAGCTGCGCAGTGCCAAGGGGAAGAACGACGGCTCCTTGGGGGAGAAGCGCTACTTCAGCTGCAGGCCGAGCCACGGCGTCCTGGTGCGCCCCAGCAGGGTCACCTACCGTGGCATCAACGGGGCCAAGCTGGTGGATGACATCTGCTGAGCCCGCACGGTGGGGAGGGGGTATTTTAAAGCACAAAGAAACCCCGCCTAGAATGCAAACTTATTTTGGAACCTCTAAATCTGCGTTTGCGTTTTACATATAGAAGTATATATGTATGTGTGTGTATATAATATATATATTTTATATAAATATATATATGTATAAAATAGAGAGATAAAAAAGTGTTCAGTCACGTTAAGAAGTAAAACCACTGTTGAGTTTCTCTTACTTTAATGACCCTTGCCTGGAAGGTTATCAAAGCATCTTGGGTTTAAGATGCTGCATCATTTGAAAACCATTCCAGTTGGAGAACAGGGTGTCTGCAGCGTTCTCTGAAGTTCCTGTGTGGTTCATGCAGTATTCAGAGGGTTTTTCTCCATGTAGTAATGAACTGGAAATGTTTGTGCATTGCCTGCTTTTGACAGTGGAGGTGGTTGATGGGTGACATTAGCCTGGTTCCTGGGCTCTTTGTCAACTCCAATACCAGCTGCTAGCAATAAGAAAGGAAAAAAAATAAGCCAAACCTCTCCGCCCTTTTCCAAAGGGTTGTGGAGTATTTTTGCATTTTACTGTTCAGATCTCTCTTCCTCTTTCCCCCTCCTCTCCTCCTCCTCTCCATAATACAAAAGGGCTGATAAACACAAGGATTTGCCCCTCTCCGAGTGAAGAGCAGCAATTAAATAAGAAGCCTTTAAAAAGCACAAATATGCTGCATGTCAGTCTGTACAGTAACAAGCACTTTTTGTTCTGCATTTGTAGAAGGAGCTACATACAAGATGCACTCTTTAAAATAATGCACTTTGCACTCTCCTGGGGAGCTTACCCTCCTTTTTAGAGACTATTTTTTTGTTTGGGGTGCTGCAGGCAATGAGTATCACAGTTGTAAAATGCAAGTAAACCCAGAGTGGAATACATAATTCCCTTATCATAAATATTAAGTCTGTATAAATACAGCAAGGTAATTCCTGCCAATGGTATGGAACAGATACAGGGTTTTCAAGCAAGCTGTTGCCATTATTTGATTCGTTTGTGACACTGTTACTTTTTGTTTGCTTTGGGGCAGTTTCCAGTATAAATTTTTTGTGAGATCTTATGATGACTTAAGGATAATTTGAGGTACAGCACTGTAATGGGCCTTTATGTGACATCATTTGTGTATCAGCCTTTTAGAACTGCTAATCTTTTGTCCATGGTTTAAACATAGAATGTATTTTAATTGCTCAGCATATGTAAACATTATCTTAACTGGATGGGTTTGTGTTCCAAAACAGTCATTTTACTCTTAAATTATTTGCTTGCTCTTGCCTACTTGAAGAAGTGATACTTTAAATCTATTTTTAGACAGAATCCTGCTGCTGTAACCTTTTAAATGTTGCTGTAGTTATTTTTCCTGATCTGTATTTAAAATAATGCTTATTGTATTCTAACTCATGGGAATTTTTAATTGAATATAAAAGCTGTAAATTTTGAATGTAAAAAACAAAGTAATGCTTTATATTTAGAGATGCAGATATTCAGTGACGTACTGAACTTTACTTTGTCTAATATCTGTTTCCTGCTGATATTAATAAAATGAAACCCTGTTAAATAGTAGAGCAAAAAGAATTTTCATTGGGTCTTTACAGAATGTACCTTTCTTCCCTCTGTTCTTTTGTACAAATTAAGTGCAGGGAGTTCAGTCTGCATCCTCCAGCTGTGAACCAGAGGGTTTTCTCTCTCCTGGCTGTTCAGCACAGAGCTGCCAGCTCCAAACAAAGCCTTTGCACAGCACTTTCTGTCACAGCCCGGTGCTCCTGGGCGAGCAGGGGAGTTTCTGTGAGGAGACACTCGTTACCAGGAATGCTCTTTTTCCTGCCTGACCAGATGGAATGCTGGAACTGCTTTATCTGAGGGGTAGCTGGAGTTCTCCAGCAGGTAGGTGTGGGAACAAGCGTGTGGGTGAGGCAGCAAGCTGGGGCAGCTTGTGGGAGTCACAGCATTTCTGTGTGGTCTGCCTTGCTCAGATGATTCAGTGGGAGCTGGTTTTTCCTGCAGGGCTGTCAGGCTGTGCCTTGCACAGCTCTGTAGCTCCACGCAGGGTCTGGGCCTCACTGAAGCTGCCTGGTGGGTGCAGGAGAGGGCACAGATACCATCTGGCACTGGTGTGTTGTGCTCTGCCTTCCATTTCAGCTTCAGGCAGCAGCACATCTCTCCTGGAAGCTCTGGCTGTAATTGGCTGGAGCACTGTAGCTTAGAGGAGCAAGTCTCACTGTTATCAGGATGGAGTGTTTTGGTAGCACTCAGAATCTTCTGCCAGGAAGCAAGAAGTACTGTAAAATTATGCTGTCTGAAACAGAAATAAATCAGTCCATTCCAGAAAGGATTACTGATGGCTCTCTTCAAGGTGATGAGGGGAAGGGATTTGTGCTTCCCTAAATCCAAGGTAAGTTGCCATAATCCTTCACTCCAACTCTTGCAGGAGGACACTGTGTCATAAAGAAAATTCTGAAAATAAGTGGCAGTGAAGTTTGAAATTAGGTGCTGTGCAGGGGACTGTACTACCACAGCGCCTGACTGGTTAGAAAAAAAGCCAAATGATCCTCAAAGTCCCAAGACACTACATAAATAAAACATTATGTGTCGTTTATAAATAAATAAACAGATGGTCCCTAGCAATTCTGTGCTCTCTGTGCAGACTCTGAGGCCAGTCCTTATTCCACAGCATGTCTCAGGTCCTGATTATGTCCCTCAGTGCTCTTAGCAATTAAATCTTTCAAGTTTTCTTGAACACTGGCTGGAAAGGAGAGACAACAGGTGCATGTGAGAGGGGGATGAGAATTTTCTTGAGGTGTCCGAGGACGGGAAATTAATTTCTAGGGAGCTCAGCTGAGCTGGACTCAGTGGCTGTTCTGTGGATGGTGACAGGAATGGTTTTCTGGGCAGGGAGCCTGCGCCTTCAGAGTGCTGCACACGGGTCCAAGGCTGGCTCTGCAGAGCTGCAGGGCACAGCCTAGTTCCTCTGACAACTCTGTGACCCGTGAGAGGTGGCAAATCCACCTTTTCTGTCATGGCTGGTTCAGAGTTCAGAATTTGCAGAAGCTTTGTCAAGGACCAGGTGGAAACTGAAACTGTTCATGACAGCCATAGCAGAGTACCCACCTGCATCCTTTTCCCTGCCTGGCTGCAGACTGACAACTCTGGAAAAAGAGTAATTACAGCAAAGATTTCCAGCCAGTGCCAGATCCAAACCAGGCTGTGGTGGCTGGCTGCTGACCAGCCCTGCTCCTGGAAGAGCACAGGAGAGCTCCTTTTTTAGTTAAGACAGGGAAGAAAACGAGGGAGGGGAGAGGTTCCTACTGGAAAATCTTGTTAACCAAACCAGAGCTGTATAGCTATCCTGCTGTAGAATGAGCACATGAAGGAGAAAGTTTATATATAGTAAGTCAGTCCTAAGTTCAAGGAGCATTGAATGAGAATGCAGCTGCCTGGGCCATAGGAGTGATATGGGATGGGATAAAAAGTGAGGGTTTCAGGGCAGAAGCTATCTCTTCCTAGAATTGTCACAAGATTCAATAGTGTCATTTTTAATGCTGAAAATGAATTAAAATACATCTTATAGGTAGACCTGCCCTCAGTCCAGACTCAAAGGCTGTCTAAGATACATACAATTAGGAAAACACCCAAATGCAATCTTCAGCCATATCCTTTGTTCTGTTTTGGTACTGGCCAGTTTGCTGTGGGTAAAAGCCAGCCTTCCTGGTGACAGAGGGAAGGGCACCTTCCCCTGTAAGAAACTTGGTGTGCAGCATCTGCAATGCAAAGAGGCCTGGAACAGCTGCTGCGAGCCCAAAAGGTGGCTCAGGGTACCACCAAACCTACTCCTTAGGGTGTTCATCACCCTAATACTTCTGCAACTTTGGCAAGTAAAAATGGATGTCCAGAGACATCTGGACATTGCTCCAATCATTGCACAGCCCAACACGGAGAAATCCAGCTACTGTCACTTTATTTGTCTTCATGCCTTGTGATTCACTACACTTGTTTACAATACAAATACACTATTCAATACAAAATACTCAATGACCATATATTAGTATTTTTCTTCATAGTATCCCTGAAGTGCACAGGCCCTTCCTTTATAAACAATGTTGCATAAACGGCTGTACATGAGACAGACACTCCTATAATGAAGCTCGGTACTAAAAGAAGCCAGGAGCGGACACTTGGGACGTTTCCCTGCGATGGGTTTAACTCTGGGACAGACGAACAGCGATGTCTTTGCTGCTGTGGAAGGCTGTTTTATGCAATTCCCACGTCAAGGTTCTCATCCCCCAGCAGCCAGGCGCAGTACCAGGAGCAGACATGCAGAGTGGCAGCTGCCATTCCCTGTTCCAGCCCTGGTGTGCCGTGCTGGGCCGCTCCCCGTGCAGGGCAGCCGGAGCAGCCGCGGTCCGGCACCGCTGTCCGAGACCGACGTGGCCAAACTCACGCAGCCCTGGGGCTTCCCTCCTGTGGTCCTGCACCTCCTCTCGCTGGGGCCAAGCCCCTCTCCCACCCCTCACTGCCTCGGGGGAGCAGAACCACCCTCACTCCTGCCCTGCTTCATTCCCAGGCACGCGGTGGGGAAACAAGGTTCAGTGGCACAAAGGGAAGATGATGGGACAACTGGAAAGGTAGAGAGACAGGCATCCCAACCTAATTACCTCCAGCAGCTCATGGAACTAGAAACCTACTTATCTTCTGTAGGAAACCAGGTAACATCCACATGGAAATGAGCCATTTCCAGAGCATAAGCACAGGGTTTTTCCCCAGTTGTGCTTTACATCCTGTAGATCATTCTGCTTCCCGCTTTTCCACTGCAGAATGAGGAAGACATAAATCAGAACATCATTATTGCCAACACAAAAGATTAATGGTCTTAAAACAAGTTCCTTAAAAATATACAGTGTGTCAAAAACCTATAATTTAAAAAATAAGTCACTGACAAAAATGGGTAAGAGGGTTAAAAAAACTTGAATTTGTTTTTCTCCTAGCATGGAAGGGTTTGATAGAGGAATTTAGGATTTACAGAGTGCTTTGGTCTAGTGAGCCCATGGTGACTTAAATCCCTTCTGGTCCCTGCAGCTCTGAGTACTGAACAGGTGAATCATCATAGACACAGAAATTAAAATTTCTGGTTCATGCTCATGGCAACTGCAGCCTGAATACAATCAACAGAGCACCCTTTGGTCCAAGCAATTAATGGCAGTATTTGTTTCCTAAGAAAGAGGACAGGCAAATGCTCCAGCTCCTTTTTCTAAATGAGGAGATTTGATTACCACCAATATTTACAGAACAGTGTTTGCAACCTGGGGTACTGTGCTTGGACAGCACACCAGAGATACCAAACTAAATGCTTGCTGTGGAAGAGCTCAGAAATGGTATGGTTTTAACATTAAAAATAAGACCAAACTGGATTTCTGAATTCAAAGAGTTAAGAGAGAGGGATTAAAAAAAAACAAACAACAAACCAAACCAAAAAACAGTAATAGAAACAAACCCCAAAACTCCAACCCCAACCAACCAAGAAAATCCAAACCACTGAAGAACCCACAAAAAAGCATTTTGCACTGGAGACACTAAAGGGAAGCTCACTTAAAAGCAGCTGCCAATGCTGAACAATATTTGCTCAACGCACTGTATTCAGCAGACTGGAGAATTCCAGTAGTAATTCAGCATTTCCCCTGATCAGAATTATCTCTTTACATATTCTATAGGTAAGAAGCAGGACTGTGTTTAGCTCCTTCGTTTTTTTACAACTCCCATTCTGTAGGAAATTCTATGATAAAATAACTGCACAGCAGAACCTCAAAGCAGCAACTACACTCTCATCATGGCTGGGAGAGCCTGCCTTTCACACCTACTGACTTAAAATAATCTCTTGCTGCTTGTGCTTTTTAAGTTTCTTTAGAAATTCTGCCTTTAACATCATAACCTGGCAGCTTATCTGCATTTGTGCAGCATCGAAGCTGCTGCCCCAGATCCAAGAATTAATTTCAGCTAGTCAAAGATCATTAACTTAGCAACTTTTTGTTCTTGCGCATTCTTTTGAAAACACTCATCAGTAAACAGGTCAGCTTCTGCCCTCAGTAACTTTGCAAGGCAGCAAAAACTCAGAGTGTGCTCCTTTCCAAAGAAAGGCTAAAGAAAACAATAAGGAGCTTCAGCTCTTCTGAAAATGAGAAATCTGGAATACCTAAATGAAAATTGCTATTATATGTGAATAATGTACTAGTGTAATAAATTGTTCAGATGGTGCTTGCCTCCTGAATGAATCAGCTTTCCTGAGACTCAAGAAACTAGCCCACTGAGTTTACTGAGCTAGAGAGAGAGACTGGTGTGACACTAACACAATCCTAAGCTAGATAGAATCCCTCCCCAGTGGCTATTTCACAGCAAGAGCTGTGAGCCTAATAACCTGGGAGATGACAAATACCCTCTTAGCTCAGACTAAAGAAGCCTGTAAGCATGGCCCTTGTTATCCCCCCTAACCCGTGCAGCAGCAGTGGGATGGATCTCTAGCAGATGAACATGAAATTCAGAGCAGCCCCTGACCCAACACACGAGCACAGCCTGTAACCAGTCACCACATCTGCCTTTGGCTTTGGACTAAAAAAAGGATTTAATTCTGTGTATCAGAGGCATCAGAAAGGCAGATTAGGAGAGCACACTAGTGCTCCCCCTGTCATGTGTTCTTTACAAGGGGGTTAGCCCAAGCCAAGTCCTCCAATTTCCATCTGCCCATCCCGAAGTTTAGGATGTATAGGGATACTGGTTTGTTCCCTGATGAAGACAGGAAGCTTACCTCAATGTTTGGATCCAGGGCCAGACTCAGGGTTACTTCACTGAAATGAAGAGTCTCAGACTGAAGAACACCTTCCCACTCCTTTGCTGATGCTCCAGTACTCCCATTTCTATGGAAATAAGCACCCCTTTTTTGGACAGCAATCATGCTAAAACAGCTCCTCCAAACCCCAAGCTGAAGTTACTAATGCACATCTTTACACATGAATTATATCCTACATCTATGTTTTGACAATACACTTAACTGGAATATTTTTCATGCACGGGGTGTACAAAGTGAGTCAATGGAGTGTTTGTCCTTAAACCACTATCATACACGTATTTTGCCAAAGGAAAAAGGGCTCTAAACCCTTCAGTACAGACAGTATCTGGCTTCCAGACAGTGGCACGATGTAGTCTTCTGTCTTTATGGTGTTGTTCATACAGTGTATGTCAAAGGCTATTTCAAACCTTCGAGGTATGCAGGTGGCTGTCCCTTTTCAGGGCATGGTGAAAGTCTCTCTCATGACCATGGTCCATTAAAGCTTCACCTTGATTCCACTTGACACTTCCACGTTCCTGATGAAGGGCATCCCTACTTTTGTAGGACAGAAGCAATTTTAAAGGGCTTTACTGGGTTCTGGTGCTTAAGCATAGGTGAACAAAAACAAACCAAAGAAAACCCCAGCCAAAAACAATGCCTGCCCCCTGAATGCCTTGTAGCATCTACACCCATCCTTTGCTTCCTCTCCCCTCCCCTTCAAGTGATGCAGTGTGACCAGGGTTTTTCCATTGCCCTGCCAGCACCCCCACAACACTGTGCATTCAAGGACTTTCGAAGACTGGATTGCAGCTGGACCAAGACTTGAGAACGTGCCATCGCGTCACCATTCAGCGCTGTCATTGTTTTTTTTTTTTTTTTTTTTTTTTTTTTTGGTTTGGATAGAGGACGCTCTTCCCAAACCCACTACAAGCTCTGCCAGCACCAGGAGACCTCCAGGTCTTCCACAGCAACGACAAGTTTGGCACGGAAAAGCCTGGACATGAAACACTCATGGCAGTGAGCCGCGGCTTGACACGGAAGCAGAGGACGCACGACTGGGAAAAGCTCACAGGAAGGGCATGACGACAACCATGCGGATGAGTTGATGCAACAGCAGCTGGGCCTTGCAGTTGACAACAGTTCCCTGCATCCTCCCTCCCCCTCGTTCCTTTGACTCTGCTGGGGCTCCGCTGGTTTGAAGCCACTCGGGTTAGTAGAAATTACAGCATCAAGGGTGGCACTTTTGGAGCAAGTTTGCACAAAACAGGAGGTGATGCTGTCCGATGCCTTGCTCGTGGTGTGCTGGGTAACAGGACATCTCTTCAAGGCTCAGGGGCCACGGGGGGGAAAAGTCAAGAGAGGGTCGAGGGCTCTCAGGGCCCCTGCTGGGTTATGTGGCTCTTGTTTCTAAGGACAGGGTCCTCGTAACTGCTAGCGCAAGGTGGTGTGGAGCTTTCCAAGGGTAAGCCCTGCTGCTGGTATCCGTAGTTGACATTCCCACAGGGGAAGTGGCGGAGCCTAAAGAGAGGCACTTCTTTAACGCTTGCGGTTAGGGAAGATGGCTCTAAGAGCAGGGAGGAGCCTGGCAGCCTGCCAGTCACAATGTTGGGCCCCACAGTACAGTTTCCTTCCTGTCCCAGATTCTCCCTCTCGGGCCTCTCCTTCTCCAGCAGAGAACTGTTTTTGCTGGCCTGCTTCTCTGCAAACCAGGAGCCGTAGGTTGGATTCCAGAGGTTGGTGGGCTTGTTTCTGGAGCCCCGGCTTTTGTGAAGCTCTGAAGGGGGATTGGACTGGGCATAGGCCATGTTGATGTGTCCCCCCCCTGTGGCTGACTGCACCTTTCCCGGCGCTGGCTGTTCCAAGGCTCCCACTTTGCCTAGAGATTTTCCAGCAGTGACGGCTGACGGCAGGGGTGGTGGAGATGGCAGGGTTTGCTTATCATCCTTTCTGTCTTGGTGTGTTGAGACCAAGAGAGGAGGAATTCCTTCTGGATCGTCGGGGCGCATCGCCACCTTCTCCTCCTCCTCGGCCGATGGGCCATATTCTACCGGCAAGGCGGTGTTGATGACATCGGGATCCTGCCAAAGGGAACAACGGGAATTTCTCAAAGCCTGCAGCCACCACACGTCTAGCAGCTGTCATGCTATGATCTCAACACGTCCCACCACCCAGAGCCCACATTCCATGAGGAGAGGATGTAGACAAAGGGCAGTTAGGTGTGAGATGCAACAGGATATCCTTAAAATCCCACTCTTTAAAAGAAAGTAACCCTTAAACTCACCACAGAACAGCAGAGGCACAAAACCAATGAAAAGCATTTTTTATGTCCAGCAAAATTTCCTGTGGGAATGCTTTTTGGAATCTCTATCATCTCAGAGTTCATAACACTCTCAGATAATATTGAGAAAGTTGGAACCATGTAAGTATTGCCTCCACACAAGAAGGGAGGAATGGGAATGCAGAGTGAAGACAATACTGGCAGACCCCCTTGAAGCCCAAATCCACAGGGGCCGTGGTTCTGAGATATTTAAGCAGTTTTGAAAATTAAACCGAGAGAAAATGCAGTGATCTTGGCAACCTTTACTTATTGCTATATGCCACAGCAAGCTACAGATAGCAGAAAAAAATGCCTCCCAATCCCAGGATCCAAACACACATAAACAACAGATCAAGCTTCCCAAATAGCAAGGGAAAGCAAACTGACTGAGGTGAACAACAGTGAGATCACACAAGGAGCCTGTGCTGATGCAGGCAGGAGAACATTTTCCAAACTGCCCTATTTCTCACAAGCTAAACTGGTGGTAAAAAACCAAATAAATCAGATTTTGGCCTGGAAAGCCAGCCACAACCTTCCCCCATTGCCTAGCCTAAGAATCCCCACTCCTTTAGCCTGGCCATGTCTCCGCCTGCCTACTCCAGCACTGTCAGATTCAAAAAAATTGCCAACAGCTGGTGAAACCACCTGCAAAGGGTGCTCTGAGCTGGGACCATTTCTGTTCAGTGCTGACTATGCCTTGAGGGTAAGCACTGGGATGGAGTGGCTGGGATGAGGCATGTGAAAGCAGGGCAGGTGCTGGCCTGTCTTTGCTCTTTTGCTTGTTGGAATCGGCGCTCTGTAAGCAGAAGCAGGGCTACAGGTGTGCTCTTTGTAAAGCTGTGTAAGCCTGTGCCAGCCTGTGCCTTTCAGCAGCAGAAGACAAGAAGGATCAAGCACCTGATGAGGTGAATGTCCCAGCCAGGGGTCCCAGGCTGACATCAGTCTCCCTGGACTGCTGACTGCAGTAGGGCAGTGCTGCCTCCCCATCTCCAGCCCTGGCTTGTCTAGACAGCTCCTGAAGAAGAACCCTCTCCACCCCTCTCATGCGAACAGCGGTACCTGAGTGCAGTACTCAATCCTCTCCAGGATTATGGCAAAGTTTGGCCGGTCTTCAGGCTGGTGCTGCCAACACTGGGTCATAATGCGGTAGCTGGAAGGGCAGAACAGGAGACATTGGTGAACGGCAGATCCCGTGGGATGTGATAACTGCTCATGGCAGCCTGGGAATCACAGACATTCATCACCATTCTTGCTTCTGACAAATGAGAGTTCTCTGCCTTCCTGGAGTGGGACAACTGATGCACTGGTGACCACTGGAATGTGACCACCAGTGGGGTGAAATCCACAGCATTTCAGAGAAATTACTCATTCACCTGATTCCTTGGGATTCACCAAGGATTCCTTGGACAACACATTAAAGGTAGGCAGGGCTAGAGATAAAGGAGCCCAGTTTTCCCTGCCTGTGGACAGTCTGATGCATTAAAGTTTCACAGCTAACCAAAGACAGAGAAATATTGTGTCATCTTTGACCAAAAAAGGAGTGGCCAGGACTTCTCAAATGGGCCCTGAATTATTCTCCAAAACAACAGAAAAATTAAATATAGAGAAATCACTGGCACTAAAGTTTAATAAGGCAGATTAGCCATGATTAGGTCAATCTTAAAAGTCATTAACTTTTGAGTAGAGAAAAAGCATCTGAAACAGAAACTTAATTGCATGAATATATCAAAGTTATAATCTCATACACAGGGCCAGGGCAGTTTTTAGGTGGATCCATCCTTCCTCCATTGGTGACAAACTCCAGAACCTCCTGGTTGCTTTTGCTGGGGTAGGGCATGTATCCCAAAGAGAATATCTCCCACAGCAATACGCCAAAGGACCTGAGTACAGAAGCAAAGGAAAACAAAGTGAGGGATACTGGAATGACCATCACCAGTGGGCAGTGCCCCTGGGTTCAGCACCATCAGCAACTTTGCAACTTTTGATCAGGCAGCTGGTGGAAATCCTGCTATAGGATTCAGACATAAATAAGCTGCACAGTTGTAAGAGTAAACTTTAAAACTTTTAATATAAAATACCAGTAGTTGGTTGCTAGGTAAGTGAAGCCTATGATGTAGGTAGGCAAACATGGCTGCTTTGCCCTTGTACTCAGCACTGCTCGACTGGAGGTAACAAAAGTGAACGGTCAGGTCATCCTTTTCTGAGATTCTGACCACTGCTGGAGAGAGAAGTTTTGGCAAACTTTTCCTCTGGAAGAGCTACCCCTGCATAAAATATCCTGCTAGTGAATCCCCATGATGCTCTGAGGCCCAGAGGCCCCACCTGTCACTCAGAGCACAATGAAAACACTCCCTAGCAAACACAGCCCTGGCCTGGGTGCTGTGGCCTGCAAAGCCCTGGGGACAGTGGCTGGGACAGGACCCCCTCCAAAGCATTCACCTGGTCAATGGCTTGGGAGCCACAACCTCATTAAAAAATGAGGTTAAAATTGTAGAGAGATGTGCAGCAATGGGAAACTCCTCTGCTTGGTGCTGAGACAGGCAGAGCTCAGCTATGCCAGGGTGTGGACCTCACCCCTGCTGGGGCTTGCTCAGGAGCTGTGTCCTGGCCACCAGCCCCTTCCGGGTGTGGACCTCACCCCTCTGCTGGGGCTTGCTCAGGAGCTGTGTCCTGGTCACCAGCCCCTTCCCACTCCACACACTCCCTGAGCTCTTGCCTCCTGCTCTCCTGATTTTCCTCTCTGCCTCTGGCCACTTAGGAGCTCCAAGTGCTGCTGTAGGCCAGGAGAAAGGCAAACCCACAACGCAGGACACCCTTCTCCCTGACTGGCAGGATGGATAGTGCCTGCAGCCTCCCATGCTGCTTTCCTCAGTGTGGGACTGATGCTTTCCTCCCTGGAGCAGCAGCTGCATCTGCTTCCATCTGCTCTCCCTTCCCTGCCCGCTCACCTGCCCTGCAGCACCCACCTCTGACCTTTCTGCTCCCTTGTCTCCTCAAACACTGCTGGCTGTGAAAGACCCAGCTTGTATTTTTAGTGTGTGAGAAGTGAACAAGAACATGTGTTTTTTACAAAATATTCACGGTTTACAAAAGGGGTTCCCACACGGACAGACCGGCCGGCGGAGGAAAGGAAGCGCACCATGTGTCTGTTTTTGATGTAAATATCCCTTCCATGAAAGCCTCAGGAGGCATCCATTTGACAGGCAGCATTGCACACCCACCCTTACGATAGTAGCTGGCTCTGCAAAGAACAAACAGAACAAAAGAGTCAGCCAAGAATTCAGAAAATGCCATCAATATGGGATTTTTGTAATTACAAATATTAAAATTATGAGCCAGAGGAGAGACTAATTTAGGTGGAACAAACTAAGTGCTGAAATGACCTGCTTCTTCTCATAAAAGTAGTGGAAAATGCAAACCACGGAAGTGCTGTTTAATCTACATCATTTCAGGCCTGATCTGGTAAACCAGTTATCCTCACCCTCCTAGGGAATTACTAACACAGTAACTGCTGCTGGCAGAGCTTCCTCCTGCCCTTTTCAACCACAGCAAGACCTCCTCACCTCATGTCACACATGGTCATCCTGGGCATACCCAGCAAGAACAAACCAAACCTATCCCATACATACCCGGTCTAAAGCATTGTGAGTAAAATCCAAACCCCTTTGTAGGAACAAGGAGCTTGTTGAGGAGGATGCCAGGTCATTAGAGCTGGGACAGTAGCACAAAAATGTTCCTGAGACAGGAATTAAAACAGTCCTTTGGAGCTGCTGTCATTTGAAATAAAACCTGCAAGCCCCAAATCCCATGCTGGCAGTCGCAGGCTGCTCATGCAAGCTGGTATCACTGATCACAACAGCACAGCCTGAGCATCCAAAGGGTATTCCTGGACAAAGAAACACATGCAGGCTTCAAACGCACCTTTGAAAGCTCAGCACCAAAGTGTTCATCTTGGCAGTCAGTTCTGCTGGTTGTGTGGGGGTGACAGATGCCACTTTGTCCCAGCAGAGCCCCATGTGACAGTGGGGCTGCATGGGGGCTCTTTGTGGAGGGAAAAAACCCCAGCAGCTCTGATGCACTTGGGTTTCTGAAGGTAGCACTCTGTTTGCAGCACCTCAAGCTGTGATACTGTCAGAGCTCAAGCTAAGCAGAGCCAAACCTGGCTTAGTAATTGCACAGGAGAATCCTCAAGCAGGAAAAAAAGAAGGCAAGGCACTGGAAAAAACTGTGCAGGTGACTGAGCATGAGGCATTCCTTCTTCTGAGTCAGGGCAAATCAATTCCTCAGCACAGCAGGATATGGAGCTGCACTTCTAGAGGTGCTCTATGGAAGATGAGACATCAAACTGCAGCCCTGACTGCTTATGGTCATTAAAGATTTTCTGGCACTTCTTGCAAGAGCAAAGGTAGTTAACCCTGCATCCTGGCTGAATGCCAGTTTGGGTGATTATATTTTCCTGACCTCCTTGTACACCTTCCTCCTTTAGCTGCAGTAAATTGAGGAAATTTACTGATGACACCAAACCAAAGGTGCAGGGGTAGCATCAAGGAGAGAGATTAAACTCTGAATGATTTGGGATCACAAAACAAAAGGGCACATCAATGCCATTCAGCGTGGCATAAAGAAAGGAAACTGAGGACAGAGTCCAAGAGGGAGGGGGGAAAACCTTCCATGACCAGTAGACTTCATTGCCCAGGAGAAAACTGTCCAGGACAGTTTAAGGCAAACATCAGGGAAGCATCAGCTGGGATTCACCAGGCTGGGATCTCTCCACTCTTGCCTCACCAGAGTTACACAGAACAGCACAAGAGGCTCCTCCCAAACACAAACACTGCTCCTCTCCCATTTCAGTGACCTCCCACTTGCAGGTACCCTGGGCTTGGCTCTGCTACCTGTATATATCCCGGGCCATTCCAAAGTCTCCAATCTTAGCCACTCTCCCAGGCCCTCGACAGGTAAGGAGGCAGTTCCTGGCAGCAATATCCCTAAGAGGAAAGGAAAGAAAAGAAACAGAAAGAGAAGAGCCACTTAATCCTTTGACAGTTTTGCAAGTCAAAAAGAAAACAAAAAATAGTACCTACTTTTCTGAGCTGCAGAGAACCTAAACAGCCAGAAAAGTCAGTGCTTATGGATAACTGCAATGTCCTCAGTTCCAATCTATCCCCACAGCAGGAACAGTTTTGTTCTTTAACATTTTCTCTTTAAACTTCACATAACATCTTCCAGCTGAAAGAGTGGGCCTCCTGTGAGCCTCCCTTCACCCCAGGAGTTATTTTTATGTCTCCAAGGAGTGCAAGAAGAGGAGCTGGTTTCAGAATGTACTAGTCCCAACATCAAGCTGTCTGGGGAACGATCCACTGATCTGTTCCTACTGTGCTTGTTCAAGCGTTGTCAAAAGGCTGTTGTACTGCCAGAGACAGGTGTCAGCACACTGCCAGAACAGTGTGCAGGTGTTGCTCTGAATACTGAAGCTGTGGGCCTGAATCTGTGTATGCAGGTAAAGCTCCAAGCTCCACCTCTGCTGGGCTGGAGTAAACCTTGAAGTCTGAATACCACAATGGCACAACTTGTGAGTGACTCTCAGAGCTGTGAACTGCCACCTCTCTGCTCATCTCTATTTGACAGGCAGATTCTAGATTCCTGCCAAACACCCTGTTTTGCAGGAGCAGTGGTCACCTGATGTTGCCCTTCTGGCTGTGCTTGTACAGGTGCTCTTCGAGAGGGAGAAGAAAAGCCTTCCAAAATGAGCAGACAGGCAGTAATAAAATTAATGGCAGGGAGAGCTTCAAAGACTTCTGTCACAAGATTGTGTCCATTTGCAGAGTAGCCAAATAGGCCGCACAAGTGCAGGCCCTGAGACAGGGCTCAGGATCTTTGGCAAAACTACAGACCTTTGCCAGCTTGATTTATAGCAGCTCCTCTCTTTATTGCTTCTGTGATTTTGTCTACCTTGTTTGAAGGTGTCCAGCCACTAGAGTGCAGCAGGACACAAACATGGAGCAGGGCATTATGAGCCTGTGCTGGCGTGTCTGTAAGTCCTGCCCAGGCTGGGCTCACCTACCTGTGAATGAAGTGGTTCTCCTCCAGGTACTGACACCCACAAGCAATGTCACGGGCCACGTGGAGCAAGTCCAGCATGGAGAGGGAGGAGGGCTGATTCTGCCAAAAGACAAGGGACACACATGGGTTAAAAGCTGAAATATGGTGTGATTTGTCGCGGCTACAGCGCTGGGACCTCTCCAGCAAGTGACAAAGGGATTAGGAAAATGCACAAGAGACAGTCCATACCCAGGAACTACGAAAGGATGTGCAGACACAACGTTATACAGATCCCAGAGACAGAATCAGAACAGACAGAATCAGCTGGATCTGACTTTCCAGCTCCATTGGGATGCCCCTGTAAGAATTTCCGAAGTTCTCATGGCAGATTCTATTGAATTTTCAGCACGATTTTTGAGATCTGTAGCCTGAACTGTTCTTCACTGAGTTTCTTTGTATTATTGCCAGCTCCTCTCTAAAGTCACCTTGAACCACGGGAATGACATTTTGTATAATGGCATGAGTCACATTTGCTCTTTCCCTCCTCCACATCTGTGTAGGTTTTATCTTGCCCCTTAGAGCACTGACACAGTTTTGTGGAGCCAATGGCTATGGAAGACTAAGGCTGCCAACTCCTCGTTCCTGCCCCTCTGATGAAGCCCACAGCCCTTGCCAGGAGGAGCCAGATGCTTCAGTGGAAAGGGCAGGATTCACACTCAGTCCCTGCAGCCAAACCACAGCTGCTGCCCTGGGGTGTGAATCAGTGATTCCTGGGGTGTGAATCAGTGATTCCTGGGGTGAGATTCAGTGATCCCTGTGGCCAGTCCTGTGGGGAAGAGGGAAGTGCTGCTGCCAGTGGAGTGATGAGAAACAACTGGGTGGCAGTGACTGCTCATGGCACAACAACCATTTCATGGCTGAGTGTTTGTCAGCCCTAGTTATTGGACCAAACAAGCTTATCACACTCCTTGGCTCCCTCTTAGGACACCAACCAGTCAGCCTAGTCCCCAAAAGGCACACCTGTCCCTGGGGCTCTCACACCAGTGCACAAATCAGCACAGCTTCTCCAGTGACAGGGACTGCTGGCTCTCCAGTCCAACTCCAGATGCATGCCATGCTGTGCTGGCTATCCCACCTGATCTAAAGCACTGCAAACTGGGACTGGAAATAAGTCCAGGCTCTGCAGCAGCCACTAAACAGTGGTCATTGGCTGGCAAAACTAATAAAAAAACCCCAAAAGTCAACCAAACAAAAAACCACAACCAAACCAAACAACAACAAAAACACCCAGAACCCCCCCCCCAAAAAAAAAAACCAAACAACAACAACAACAAAAACACCCAGAAAACCCCCCAAAAAACAACTTAATGTCCTCTGAAGATATTAGGAAAAAAAACCTGGCCTCAATACTTGACTAATGAAATAATTGAAAAATGGTGCATCTCTGTGTGAACAAAGCCTGCTTTGTTCAATGCAGGGCCATAAACCAAAACGTGACCTTGTTCCACCTGCCTATATTTTATTATTTACACAGTAGAGTTCATTGAATATATATACTTCACTGATTTTTTTATAACACTGGACTGCATCTCCTCTTAAACCTTCCTCTTTACAGAGTAACTATTTTCTGCACACATAAAGCAGCTCTTTCCCTGCCGGGCCATAAACCAAAACGTGACCTTGTTCCACCTGCCTATATTTTATTATTTACACAGTATAGTTCATTGCATATATATACTTCACTGATTTTTTAAAACACTGGACTACATCTTCTCTCAAACCTTCCTCTTTATAGAGTAACTATTTTCTGCACACATAAAACAGCTCTTTCCCTGCCATTTTGTGGGGAAGGGGGAATAATCTCTTTTACCTCTGTGAGTTAAAGTGACTCACCAGCTACACAAGATGGCTACAATAAGAAAGAATGCACATCTTCTTTATCCCTTGCAGGGCATATAACCAAGGGGAAATTAATATCTCAATCTACCCATTCCCTGCTCTTTTGAGCAAGGGTCAGAAACCTGAAGTGAAAACTGAGCAAAAAGCCCAATTCTTTACTCTACAATCGATTTCAGACTCAGGCTGTACTGCAAAGCAGTCTGTAGGCTGAAGCCACAAGCTCATTTGATTTGAACTGCATAGCTTTTTTCTCTTTTTCCATTTTTTGGGGTTTTTTTTCTTGCTTTCCTTTCCTTCCTTGGATGAATTCCTTCCACCTTTTATTTGGCTAAGTACAATCCTAAAACAGATGTGACTGCCCAGCCAAGGACAATTTAGCCATGTAATTTGTTTGAAAAATGGAGGTTTGGGATTCATTTTGCAAGGGGGCAGCCTTGAGACACACCAAAGGATTCGCTTTACAGCTTTTGCTCCCCAAATGAATGGATGATGCCAGCTGCAATGCTCCACTGCTCAGGGCAGTGGGCATGCTGGAACCACTGGTGTGACACCTCCCAGGTGAGGCTGAATGTTGCCAAAGGTGAATGAAATTCTGTGTATTGTTCAGTGTAATCACTGCTCTGTGCAACAGGCTGCACAGCACAAAGGAGGGGAATCATTTATCCATATATGATTACTCTCTCAGAGCTGGGCTTTGATTGCTGTGCTGTGTGTGAGAAAGATCCTCCCAGAAAGGACAATTCTGCAATGCTCACACTGAGATAAGGCTCCAGTTCCAGGAGTCTCTGAATCTACAAGGTTGCCTCTCTGCAGATGAGGGGGAAGAGGTAATCCTGTAATAGATGTGAAACTCTATTAGAAATGGAACAGAAAAAGCCTTCAGGGCTGTCAGCCATGGGCTCGTGGGGAATTATGAATCTGAACCTTATGGAGTGGACCTAGCTGGCATAAATGGACACATTCCACGAGAATCACTGGTCTTGTATCAGTGATGATCATTCTTGCTTAGAGTCCAGAAAAATCATTACCTATTGGCCGACCTGAAACTTCATTTTTTACATGAAGAACACAGATGAACAGCATGCAACAATGCTGGCAGCATGTCCACCTCATTAAGTTGGATCTTGTGCTCTGATATTCCTGCAGTTGCTTTAGCTTTCCATTTCATGTCCCTTGTAATGCCTTCAGTCACCCCTTCCCTTCATTCACCTTCTCCTTCACCATCCCCTCTGCTCCCTTTCCTGCTTTTCAGTGTGCCAGTGCACAGCAGCACGCTGCAGGTGTCTTGCTCCAAGCCACACAGATTGTAGCTGGCCAGTGGCAACTGGTGGTCTCTCCAGCATGGTGCTTTCTTTTTCCATAAGCCTTGGAATTAGTGCCAAGTTAATGTCTTTAACACCTCTATTAAGTCTATCCAAACTAGAAAATGAATTTGATGTTACTGGCAAGGAAGTGAAAAGAGCAACTGGGGGATGAAGGTTGAGACTGAACATGTAAATCTCTTTTGTAATTAGGCTGAAAGCAAAAGTAGGTGGGAAAGACAAGGTAAAAGAAATTAGCTGGAAAATACAAAAGTGGCAAGAAAATAAGGAGAAAGGCAGTAAATTGTATGGTGTTTACTGCAGAGTAAGAAGTGCATCTCTGCCACCCTCCAGACAGGGCTTGTGTTCAATTAAGTCCTTTTGGAAGCAAAGGTCATCAAAGCCTCTTTACTCTGCACTGTCCCTTGTCTTTCCTTTCATAGCCCTGAAAAGCTGGACATCCAGCCTGCTATGCCTACCTTCTGCCTGTCTTCCCTGAATGAGCAACAGGAGGAACAAAGCAGCTCAGGGTTCATTAAGAGCAGTGCAAAGACACATCCACCAGCACTGAGCCACAGGCCTTATGTACAGAGACTCTGTCACACCTCGAGTGTATGCAGAGGGTAAATCCACTGCCAGGGCTGGATGCCATACTTCACAGAGCACAGTGCCCTGCACACATCTCAGCTCTCATCAGTCATAGTCTCCTTGCCTCGCAGTTTGTGAGCCAGCAGTCAAAAACGCACCAGAGGCTGATTTCTCAGCACTCACAGGTGCCATTGGCCCCTCAGAAGCTGCCCCAGCAGCCAGATAATGAATTACCCTGTCATCCTTGCCAGGCAGACACCACATGGGATGGTTGCAGAAGCAGGGCAAGGCAAGGGGAAAGAAGGTATTAGAATGGCGCAAAACAGCGTGGATCTGTGTCTGCACAGAGTCAGTCTGCCCACATTCACCCAGCTGTTAAAGAGGGAATGGAAACTGCTTTTCTGGATCAGTTCCAGCTTGCAACTACCCATCTGCATTTGAAGCTCAACTTTCCCAAAGTGTGGGAGACATGGGACGAAGCAGAAAACAGGGGCATCATTCCAAGGTCTGCTTCACTCCTGGGAGCAAGTCAAAGGCAGAAACCAGGGAGAATCTTCAAGATGACAGGAAAAGGCCTTGTGCCTGGTAGTTGCTATGGTCAGTCTCAGGTAACCCCAAACAGGTCAGGAAAGACAAACTGTCTTAGGTTGGAAAAGGGAGTGTGTATTCTATTCCTGTCTGTTAGAGGTGAGGCAGTTATCGCCTGTTAATTGGGCAGTTTTATTTATCTCTTCCACAGCCAATCCTCTCTCCAAGAGATATCTTCTGTTAATGGGCCACTGAGTGTCACTGCATGGCTGATAAAATTTCATCCTCCCACTGGGAGTTGCTCCACCCAGAGGGAGGAGCCAAGCATTCCTACCTGGATATAATCTGAGATTTGGAACACCACAGGCAGCCTTTTCCCACTGCTTTCCCAGAGGAGCAGCTTTCTTCTCCACTGGATTCCCAGGGGAAGACCAGGCCCATCTACACCACCACTGGACGTTCAGGGGAAAACTGCACCCTTCCACAGGATCACTGCTCCAACAGAACCACACCTGGCACTGCAGGAGGGCTGCAGCCACTGCTGCTGGATAGGACTGTCACCATCACCCTGACACACAGGGTGTCAGGTTGTATTCTGACTCTGTCAGTGGTTTTTTTTTTGGTTGGTTTTTTTTTTGTTTGTTTGGTTTTTTTTTTGCATTTATGTTTTTATTTTTCCTAGTAAATAACTGTTATTCTTATTTCCATATCTTTGACTGAGAGCCCCTTAATTTCAAAATTGTAATAATTTGGAGGGAGGGGGTTTACATTTTCCATTTCAAGGGAGGCTCCTGCCTTCCTTAAGCAGACACCTGTCTTTTCAAACCAAGACAATAAGGAAAGAAGAAGGAGGGAAAAGAAAAGGAGCGACTGTGAGGGCAGAAAGATAAATACAAAGGAAGCAATGGAGTGAACCATCAGCCTCTTCTGCCATGGGCTTTCACAGGGGTTGCACAGAGCTACTGCTGACAGGAACAGAAATTGTGGTAAGGAAGAACTCATGACTGACGTAGGGCCAAACAAAAAAAAGCCTCCTCAGATCAGAAGGCTCAGAAGTCTCCCATGACTTCATCCTGTTGAGATTAAGGGCTGTTTCATCTACAAAAGGAGCTGGCTCATTTTACTGCAAGTAGGTAAAAATTCCTGCTGTGTAGGACTAGTGTTCTTGGTAGCTCCTCACAAGATCTGCACCATCACTGAGCCGGCTTCCCTAATTAAAGCAGCCAAACCCTATTGTGTTTCACCTGCCCCATCCCACATCTTGCACAGCCTGGCCTGGCAGTTTTGAACAAAGCTCTTGCCTGGCAGCATATCCTGTCTGTGCCATTTTACACTGCACTGGGTGAGAGTGGGGACCACATTGCAGAACATGGATTTCCCCATTCACCTACCACCAAGTTCAGCTCATTTGTAGGAGCATCTCTAGGTGCTTCAGAATAACAACCTGTATTTATGAAGTCTGCTTGCTCAGATTTCAGACTTTCCTTTCTGGGTGTTTAGCCTCCTTATCCGGGAAGGAGCCACTTTATTTCAACCTATTCAAGACTGCAGTGCTTCTGAGTCTCACAGACCATTTTATATGTCTGAAAACCACACTGCATGGAAAAAATAAAAAAGTTTATCTGTTTCCAGATGCCTCAAGGAAGACTCTTATTGATAACTGTTAGAGCAAATTTGTGTCTTTCTTGTACTGATAAAATGCAGCATTTTGTCCTCTGTCAAACTTAGAGACATAATATGAAGCTGGGCCCTGGCCTTAAACTTCAGCAATATCTGTGTGACTTTCTGACCCAGGGTCTCAGAGGAAGCTTTATTCTTCTGAAACAGTGAATTCTCTCTAGAAGTCGTAATTAATTTCTTCCACATTTCTAGCTGTCTCTTCCTATTGGTGCTGATTTCAGTGGGGAAAATCTTTAAAACTCTGGACTAAAGATATTTTCTATTAAGTTGACAGCTCCAGGCCCGATTGTCTCCTTGCCTATGCCAAATTTGAACTGACAGATATCCACAGAATGCATCTGATCAGCAGATGGGTTTATTTTTTTAAATATTACTAGCTCAACATTTCCCACCAGCCTGCCCCCAACTGGCAAAAAGAAGGTAAGGGTTGAATTTAACTTTTTTTTAAAAACATTGCTTCTGTTCTTTTTTTAGGTAGTATCTGCAATGTTATCTAGCAAAGTCCAGGGATGAGGCACCTCTGCATAGCCCCAGCAGCATCCTTTCCCTATCCTGCTGGCTCCTGCCTCCACAGTGGTCTTACAACAACAGGAATTTTGTGACCATCTAAAATGCTGGGAAATAGTATCTGCATAGATGAGCTCTTTTATAGCCAAGTGTTTGCCTCGTGGCAGCAGCTCTCTAAACAAACCACAATTTACTCTTTCCTCACCGGTCTAGGGCGTGTTTCCCTCAGGAAGGATTTCAGGTCTCCTCCAGCCATCAGCTCCAGCAGGATGAAGCGGGGCAGGGCCTGCAAGCTCACCCCGATGCAGCGCACGATGTTCTGGTGGTTGAACTTGCTGTGGAGACAGGGACACACAGTTGTGGAGCAACTTTGACCCAAAAAGCACAGTAGCAGAAAGCATTCAAACCTTTTTGCTGCAGGGAACGTTTTGGTTTTGCACTTTTTAATTTTTTTTTTTTCCCCAGAAAATAACAAATCTCAAAGGTAGGGCAGCTGGATAAAGCTAAAGCACTACCCCTGCATTCTGTGTCTGTCTGGACAGTGCAGGGGCAGACAGAGGTGGCTGCTTTTCCTCTCCCTATTTTCTGCATTCTTTTTGGGCTACAGCAAGACTTGTGGGGCACAGGAAGCAGAACATGTCTGATAACAGAGAACAGTCTGCTTTTAATTTCCCCATCCAAGGCAGAAATTGAGCTAGGGCAATGTTGTGCTGAGTAACACTGACACAGGGATCTGCTTGTGGGGATGTTTCTTCAGGTCAAGTCTCTAATATTTCCTTATTTCCCCACCTCTCAAATGAGATGGGAATGTAGTTCCATGGATTCTGCTGTCTGACACATGACATGACAGCAGCATAAAGTCAATGCCATCTGCTAGTTTTGATTAGTCAAACCCAAATTCCTAAGGTATGTTCTCTTCTCTAAGAGAAATAAAAAAAACCTTATTATCAATTCTAAAATCTGGGCATTAAATTTTTCACTTTGGGTAATGAAAACCAATGTGGATCCTTTTGAAAATTTAGCCTTTAATCATTTGGTGCCTCTTCAAACAGAAAAGGATGGTAATGCCTATTCTATTTATGCTAAAATTACTGTATAGATGTGCTGAGAGGACACCACCTATAAAAAACTTTTTTCTTTATTTTGTTGGGCTTTGCAAGCCTACACAAGTAGTGTTGATGTGATTCATACACACCTAATAATGAGAGCTTCCATGAGGAAGTCGAGCTCATCTTGCTCTGAACACACTTCTGGCAATGTCTGGAAAAGAAAAAACAGGTTGACAAGGAGAAGATACTTCAACTTACAGATTAGAACACCTGGCACTAACATTGTCTGCAGCAATCCTTCTTTAAAAGAAACCTCACTCTAAGCCACTAGAGCATTGCTAAACTAGACTGTGAAGCCTGTTGAAAGGTAAATATCAGAACTCCTGGCCCATCAATGCCACTGTCATTCTCCTCCCAGCAAAGGAAACAGCCCAGAGTGCACAGAGAAGGCTCAACATATGGGACTCTGCTGTACAGAGGATGAGGAATGAGACCACAGCTCCTGAGTTCTCTGCAGCTCAATGGTCCTACCTTCCTGCAAGGCTGGGATCTATAACCAACAGCAGAACTGAGCTGCTATGTAATCTCTAAGAGAAAACAAACCAGCTAGACTGCTGAAGGCCTGGAGAACTCTACCAGGGTCTCTTAGGCTTTAGCTTCACATCCAATGCATATCCATTTTGTAAGGGAGTGGTGAGATCCTTGGAAAATCAGCCATCTCCTACTTGCAGGGTCTTTGATGTATGTGCCAGCAGCTTTTGGCCCTGTGAAGATTTTTGGACAGATTACCAGCTAGGTGTAGCATGGGGAGGATGGACAGAGGATGGATTTAGTTCTCATTCCTGCAGCCTGCTGTGGCTCTGTGGGAAATCTTTGCCTATTTACTATGCACAGACCTCTTTTAGTAGGCTCACATACCCATATCCTACAAGCTGTACCATTGCTGTGATGGATTACAGTGCTGCAAAAGAGCAGCAATATTTCTAGCCACATCCTTCAGGACTTATAGCAACGCTTCACTCATCTTCATTGTTACAATGCATTGGGACTCTGGGGTGAAAGGTGCATGAAACCATCATGATAACTCATACACTGTCACTTACTTTCACAGCCACCTGCAAGGGAGTGGGGTCGCTGGGGATCCCTGTCACCTGACCTTCATATACCTCACCAAAGGCTCCGTGGCCCAAACCCCTGGACAGACCAGAGAAGACAAGAAGGTTTTACTACACAGAACACACATTATAACACTGTGGACACAGCTCACAGAACAGGCTCACAATTTTCATGGCAGCGTAACAGGGAGAGCTGGATATTGACAATATGGTCTCACCAGACCTTGGTGAGATCTTTCATGAACCTGCATTTTATTTAATTGGAAGAGAAAGCAGTCCATGGAAGTGATCATTCCCCAGCAAAATCGAGCTGCTGGCATTGCAGCACGTAACAGAGAGCACTCATCTATGGCTTTGGTATCAGTGCTCAGTGGTGGGTGCTCCAAAACAGATCAATAAAGACAGGACTTTAGTCTTGGTGTTCACACACCCTAAACACATTAACAGTTCCCCTGATACTTCTGCATCACCATTAAACAAAACATTGAGCAAGAAACTAGGAGGCACAATGATTCTCAAAAGACCTGAATTCTAAACCAAATAACTTTTCCTGACTTATTGTGTGATTCTGGGCAAGTACCTTAGCCAGTAAATGGTGATGACAGTGCTCTGTAAAGCACTCAGCTCTAGGAATTTGTGCTGAGAATTGTTTCTGGCAGTGATCATGTTATGAAACTTACAGTTTTATTTTGAATAAGATTGCAAGAAAAAAAAAAAAAAGAGAAAGGAATAAAAGTAATCATACAATAGATCCTGTTCCATGTCCTTGTGATACATAAGATTGCAAGGAAAAAAAAAAAAAAGAGAAAGGAATAAAAGTAATCATACAATAGATCCTGTTGATGTCCTTATGACACAGATTTTGCATACTTGTCTACTCAGTCCTGACTCTCAACATTAAGCCAACTGGTACAACAGCAGCTATTTCACATCAGTGCCCTGTCATAATGACATGGTGAAATATGGCAGAGGATGAGGCTGCACCCCAAATCCTGAGTCCCTCTTAACCCTGCATGGGTTGCACATTGGGCAGTAGTATTTCCAGCCTCTAAGAGGCATCCCTGCATCTCAGTCTGGGAAAAAGGCTCTCAATAAAGCTCTCTGCTACAGCATGCACTCTCCTGTTAGAGCCAGGCCTGGGCTGGGGGCTGCAGTGATTCTGTTCTCTGCTGTATCACTGGACTGCTTTTGCATGGGCTGTTGGCCTCCTGCGCATATGAACAAGGAGGAACAATCTGCTCTGCCGTTCCTTAAGCTCTGTCTGTAGTTTTGCCAGGATAGAACCAGTCTGGGCAGTGAAACCACACTGAGGACTCGTGTTGCCTGTGACTCAACCACTTTGTGTAATAACATTTTGTAGGTATCAGCTTCAGACACCATGCTTGGCTCTGTCTGACCAACCTATTACAAACTGAGGGGATAAGCCAGACCTTTACAGCTCATAACTCACCCTCCTTCCAAAAAGTCCACTTTCCCTTCCCTTGCCAATTCCCAGCTGTATCCTCTGCTATCTGCTTGCCACACTTCAAAAATCCTTTCAAAGTCCAAGTGACAACAGAAGCAGAGCCCAGGGTACACTGGAAACCTCCAGGTGCAGTCCAGCAAGATGCGCAGGTTAAGGGGGAACGAGATAAGAGACAGCAAAACATTGCACACTGCATAGACTGCTCTGAGCATAATTTTTTTTCAGCACCTTAAGCTTCCCAATTTTCCAAGGACTCCTGCTTCCACTTTTAATTTTTTTTGTGTAACACTGCATGGTATCAGGGTACTATCACATTCACAGGTATCCTGCAGTAGAGCAGTATGCAAGAACTCAGAATTTTCAAGTTTTTCTTAGGAGACACTTTAAAACTTTTCAGAAGTTCTCATCTAGACACGATTATGTTGCTGGCTTTATATCCCTGACTTTTTAATTCTGTCTGGCATTTTCAAATCCATTCCTTTCCTTGCTATTGCACTTAAGGATGTCATTGTCTTTACCAAAGATCCCATCAAAGATTTAAAAGAGCCTCCTACAAGCTTCAGCCATCCCAGAATTTCATCGCCTCATGGCAATGGGCCATTCACTGCATAGCCTGTAAAAGATGTAACTGAATTACTGGTGATGATTATTCAGTTCTCCTCACAATCCCAGGAGATGAACACTGCACCTATAGAAGGTCAAGGTGAATGCCAAAATCTAGTCCCCTGCCCACAAGCCTAACTACTGCAGCTTTACATTTTATGAAAAGAGGTATGAACCTCAAAGTGCACAAGAATTTGCACAAAGCCATGCATTCACACCCCTCTAGGAGAGCAGGGATACGTGGGTGTACAACGAGAAGGGTGGGGAAGGCAAAGATGAATTTACCGGATGAGGGAGATGTTTTTTCGAGGCACCTCTTTAAGGTCACTAATGGACGTGGTTTTCCCTGCAAAGCAGTAGTTGGGGTTGTAGTCTGTCATGATGGTGGAGGTGCGCAGCTTGCTCAGTTTGTACTCTGGGCTCTGCAGCTCCATCTGCATGGCTTGCAGCTCCTGGTGCTTGCGGCGATACACTAAACACGGAGAACACAGTTAACCACGTCCAGAGACTGGATTTGGGACAGCCCTTCTCACTGGGACTCACTGTGGTGTGGCCAGACTTCAGGGAATCAAAGCAGCCAGTGACACTGGCATATTTCTGTACATCAAATAATTTCAGATAGAAAATGGGATCTGAAGATATCCAGGAACCTTTGATTTACACATCTTACAAAGAAACAGGCTTGCTCATGGACTGTCTGGGAAAAGTAAAATGAATTTCACTTGGAGAGATCTCAGAGTTCTGATGCTTTTTTTATGCTCTATTTAGTTTAACCAGACATTCCAAATACAAGTCCAGTTTGAAATTTGTGGGAGGTGGTGTATAACTGACTTTCCTAAATCATGTAGAAGTGACTAAAGTCTAAATGAAATGAACTATTGCATCACATTGTTCAAAGTGGATAGCCTAAGCTGTTTCCTCAGAATAACACATTGTACGTAAAAAATAACTGATTTTCCAAAACTTCCTCTGTTTCTAAACAACAGAGTAGGACCACATTTGAAGTCAGTTTATGGTATGTTATATTCCTTGCATCACTTCACTGATACTTCTGCAACACCATTAAAAACCACACCTTGAAAGAAGACATCCTGAGGATATTCCTTGAAATAGTAACTGATATTGTAGGATTTTTTCCAAAAGAAGATGACAATCAGGAGCAGGTTAACTCACTATTGATTTCTGTGGGAGCTGGATTGAGCCCAAAGACTGTGACAGCAATAGTTATTGCATCTTCTCCAGCAGATGTTGCTCAGGGGAAAAATTGAAGGGGTAAACATGCACTTGCAAAGGCAGATGGATGTAACGACCTATCCACAAACCCTTCCTGTCCTCCATTTTCCTCCTCATTGCCTTTGCTTTGATTTTTTAAGTCATTGCCCTTTCCTGAGATGGAAATGATAGGCTCGTTGGATGGAAAGAGGATTACTCTTCCACTCCTGAGAAGTATTTAGTCATTGTAAAAAGGCACTGTCAGGACAGAAATCATAAATGTAGGACCATGTGCATGCAACTGATAACTCCTGAAATCCTTAAAACCGAAACAGCTGTGCAGATCTAATTTCCTGCTCTTGGTTCATCCCCCTCCTTCCCTAGACCACACACGGTGTGGACAAAGAAAGGTGGCAAAGCTGTGGTTTGAATCCCTGACTCCTTTTCATTGATTCAAATCTATTCTGCTTGCACCAAATGCAGGTGAGCGATTGTTTAAAATAAGAACACGAAAAGGTGAAAAATACCTTTTAGAACTTCAAATAAAAATGCCAAGAATACCCACATCCTACTAAGGAGCAGTTTGTGAAAGGGGAACCTATGTTAGAGTTTAAGCTTAAATGTCATACATTAAGAGGTGAAATCTGTACATAGGCACACAAATAAAGAAGCTTTTAGGCATTAAACAGCAGCAGATCTCACAAAACCAGAAGCAGCCGTGTTCTGGCAACTGCACAGTACAACACAAAAAAGAATGTCTCTTTTGAAATGCAGTCAGTAACTGAAGCCTCCTCGAATTGGTCATTGTGGTTAGAAACAACTACAGAAATCTGAAGATGTGTGTGGGAAGGTGTCATTAAATACAGCAGTAGCTCAAAACCTGAATCCTTTTGCCTCTCAGGGCCCAATTATCCCTAGCTCAGCTCCAGCCCTCATACAAAAATATCTTTTGCAGAGAAACACTCACCTATCATGATTCCTGAAAAAGCCAAAATTAAAGCAGCCACCAATGCTGAAGTCACTACAGACAAGACCAAGGAGAAAGGGAGACGAACCACTGGCTCAGCTGCAACAGAAAGAAGGAATTACATATTTGAAATTGTCTTCCAGGAGCCACTTTTTTGCCATCAGATTTTTTTCTGCTCTTCTTGCCATTCACTCATCTGCTGCTCCAATAGTGTAGGAGCAACCTCTGGCATGACCAGTTCTCAGGATCTATGATTTCTCATACCTCATTGTTTCACTTTCCTCAATTACTACCAAGTCATTAAAACAGATGGTTCACTATCAATGAATTAACATGTGAATTCCCTGGGTGCAAAAGCAAGACCATAAAAAACAGGGGCAGGTGGTTGGGGGGATGAAAAGAACATTACATTGTTTGGGTTAAAGTGCTGCTATCAATGCCAAATCACAGCAAAAGCAGGAGGACTGCAATATAGCATCTCCTAAATGCATGTAATCCAGGCAGAAAAACCTGATAACAGTGTAGTGAAGCTGCATCTTCATGTGGGATCATGCTATTAAGGTTTACTTCACCTTGACAAAATGACCATACTTTTTACCCATCTTACAGGCAGGAATGGTAAAAACACAACAATTTTCCCATGCCAATGACAAAGCTGAAAGCAGGATCCCAAACCCCTGGGGTGACCTGCTCTAAATGCTGCACAAGAATAGGAAGCAAACCTAGTAATGGAGCTCTGAGCACCTGGTTTTGAAAGAAAGGCAAGTACAGGCACTGTATTTAGTTTTTCTCAGAGAAATCTTGCACAGAATTTCCCACAGTTTTTAAAGTTTTATTTTAAATGTCCAATTCCACAGGAATCATATTTTCCTTCACCTTGCACTTTTTTTTCTCCCCCTTTAAAGAACCGGTCTGAAATTTAAGTTCAACTGGAAAATTCCTTCAGCAAGCAAACTTTCAGGATTTCAGAGCAGACTCTGAACAACAGCACAAGCAGACACAAAATTTGACTCTGCTCAGATCTGTGCAGGAAGCCAAACATATACTGCAGAGCAAAGCAGCACTGCTGCTCAGTGCCCCAGTCCTCAGAGCTGCTGAGAATATATCCTGGCAAAATTGCTCTGCAGCATACACCAGCAGAGAAGAAAGTAACATTCAACTGCAGCCAGGTTTAAGTAAGATTAGACAGCACTTTCAGGATGTCTTACAGTCCAAACTACAGCCTTTGGCCACGCTTTTTCTGTCCCACATGTTAGCAGTACCCCACATATCTACTTACCTGTGCAAGACACACCATCCTCTGCCAATTCTGTGCCTGGCTCACAAAAGCAAATGACTTTTTGAGTCTCAAGATCAACATGGCACTCGTCCATCTCACAATGACTGCAGTTAAGGTGCAGCCTAATTTCCACCTCTCCGTGCCCCTCTGTCACTAAGGAGTGGATGAAGAAGCTCAGTTAATTAGTGTAAAGACCATTCTTATCATTTCCTTGGGCTCACTCTTTTCTTTCCTGGCCTTTACTCCCTCCAAGATCAATCACTGCAATATCTTCAAAACTTTTTGGCTGAATCCACCAGGCCAGAGTGCATCTGAATTTGAAAATACTTCTGGCTGTTTTAAAGGAAACTTCTTTTTTTAAAAATTTTTTTTATGAGTAGATTTTTTTTTGTTGTTTTCTGAACACATTGCAAACATATTAAAGACACTGACTTCTGGGAAAACACAGGCTGGAGTGGCAGCATTTATCACTCCCATGCACTGCTGGGCAGCACCTGGATATTTTACTAAGGGATGCTCTAAGGAATTTGCTTGTTAGTGAGTAGTCAGGTGTTTTGTCTGTTTCTTTCCTAAAGTATCTGAGCTATGAGGTTCTGTTATCACTTTCCTTGTCCAAAATTATTCTGTAGGCTGGTAGACTGTACTGCTGGGAGTGTTTCCTAATAGGCTTGATGCTTCCTCTCCCTGTATTTTTCCTGCTACTTCTGTCTATTCTTTGCTGTATTTTATATACTTTCTGCCTCCTCATGTTCATGACACTGAGCTGTACTCCAAAAGGTTGTATGGGATCCTACTATTTTTAAAATGAAATAAACCCACGAGAAGACTTCTGACCAGTATGAATACCTTTAAGTGCTGGAGTGTATAAAGTACCAATTGGGTTAATAAAGGACACACCATCCTCCCCATCCATCTCTGGGTCATTGTCCACTGCAGCATTGCCACCTATGTCAAACCAGAAGTTACCTTAACAGACTGAGGCTCATAGAACAATAAAACACAGATAAACATGGCAACATGCATGAATTCAGCCTATTTAGGGAGGCATCCAAATGAAAAAAGAGAAAAATTAAAGCATTTACTGTATAGGGAATATTTAGCAAGTTGTGGTATGAACTACTGGACTTTAGAACTTCAATGTAATAATGAAGCTTGTGACAATCAATCAATCAATTAGCTCTGTTTAGGTAGACTGTTGCAAACTAAGGCACAAACTTCATCTTTAACCATTTGGATGCTGTGAAACGTACAAGCCCTTGTTAAAATTTAGGTAGCCAAGAGACTGGAAAGCACCAGTACTCCAGGGCTAAGTTAGTACCCTGCTGATCAAGGCATGTACTGTGTCAGCAGAGGGAATGAACACCTGATATCCTTCCTCTCCTTTGCACCCTAAACGCAGGGTGGTCAACCAGGAGTGGGGACTGAAGGAATTTATGAGTTGCTCATTTGTGCTTGAGCATATGGAACATACCAGAAGTAAAGTATGTGCAATAGATAACAAATATTAGAAACAATATATTTTGTACTTCAAGCATGCAACAATTCCCCCACCCCACCCAAAAATTGTTTTTTCCCTTTAATTGTCTTCAGTGAAATAATGAAAAAAAAAAATCATGTGAGTCATTCTGTTGGAAAAAGAAGCATTACACAGGAACATTGGTACAAAACATGCACTTAATAATTTAAACTCATTACTTCCTCTCAATATTTCTAGTCTACCATCTATTTAATTTAAGCTGTGGAGAACCAGGGGTTAAAGAGTCCACCACAGTGCAGATGGCTGCCCAAACTATGTGGCCCAGGAGACTGTGGGTTAGCAGAGATCTTGAATCTGGCCCACACCATTTATAATCAACATAATGCCATCTGACAGCTGCCCTGAGACACAGAGGCACATGAAATTAGCTCCTTGTTGACTGAAGTCATATTAAGAGGGGTGCTGGCTGGCAGCCTGAGCCTCTGCCCCCAGAGACCACTGTGCAGGACCAAAGCCCACCCACAGCAGGGCAGGGGAGAAGCTGCATCTTTCCCCTGGCATAAAGCCTGGCTGCCAGTCTCCAGGACCAAAGTCCTCCAAACATAGGTGCTTGGCAACTGGAGCACATAGCTGTGGCTCCTCCTGCTCCAGCACTTCCACCCCAACGTGAAAAGCTCAGGAATCACAGCAGGATCTCAATGTCACATTTTGCAGAGCGCAAAGCCAGGGTTGCAGCTGAAGGACTGGCCTCTGGCTCTTTGCTCAAAGCCTAAATGAGTTAATCTAGTGCTAAAAAGGCAACACACAGACATACTAGTACATAACAGTCAAATATGCTAGCTACAGGAGAGTTATCATCAGCATTTTGCTGATCATTAGCACTAAAGGAGGGGAAGGGACACCTTGAACACGAAGCCACTTTACCTATATATCCTCCGCCTCCTCCACCTGAGGAGCACCCCCCTCCACCCCCTCCGAAACCCCCTCTTGTCTCCCACCCCCACTTCTTCATGGCCTGGGGGCAGGATCTTCCTCCAGTAGCACCTTCCAGCAAGGATTTTCCTGACCACAGGAAGGAAGTGTTATCATTCCAGCCACCTCCACCACCTGCAGTTGAGAGAAGAGAAAAGGCACAGCCAGGGGTTACTTTTCCTGTTAGAAACACTGGAGGGATCTGCAGGACAAGCATCCATTCACAACACCTCAGCTGAAAGACATCATCTGCACCTCTTTTCACCCACCATACAAACAAGGACAAGTAATTTCTATAGAAAAAGTAAAAAGATTCCCTACCTACTCTCCAACCACGTCTTTCTGGTTTACAGAGCCTTCCCCTTCTCTTTGTCTAAAACACTCTTGAAATAAACCAATGCAAATGCTAAAGTAGAAAAAACTGAATTTATTGTAAGGGGTGTGAAAACATGTCCCACTCCTACTCTCCACACCACATACCAGTGACTCACTTTCAGCTCTGCTGCTTGCTCAGTCCGAGGTCTCTGCACAGAGACTTCTAGACATGGTGCAATTATGTTCTTTCTGCATAAGCCAGAGAAACTCTGAGTACGTCCACACAGCACAAAACAGTGCAGGGACCAGGACAGTCACACTGGCACTGCCAACTCCCACATAAAAAATCAAACAACTTTGTTTATGAGAAGTACTGCATTATTTTGGGAGAATGTAGCCATTGTTATGGCTATACCATTTCTGATACCCTTATTTACCCCAAGTATCCAGCACTGTGGGTACCTTCTATTTGCATCTGTTATAACCCTCTGTTCCCCCTGAACTGCATTTTCATGAGTTTTACCTCACCTTCTTGTGAGGAGGAGGAATCTGGCCACATATTCACAAAGGTTTTCTTAAAAGGAATAAACTCTCCTTACCTGCAGCTCCTGAATTTCCATTCAACCCTGGAATAGAGGAATCATTCTCCAGTCTTTCTGGATGAAATGTGTCCGTTTTGGCCCTGTAGGCCCTGCCACCACCCCCTGCTGCAATTATCAAGGGGACCGGTTCTCCGTTCTCCATCTTAACAAATTCAGAAATAAAGGCAATGTTCAAACTGAGTCAGACATGGAAATGGAAGTTCAGCCACATCACAGTTACTGCATGTTGCACCAAGCAGGCATCTAGGGCTGCTCAGCACTGCACACTGTCACTGCATTATTTATGTACCCAGAAAATTAATGAATAGAAAATTAAAGAATAGTCCAAGTTCTGCTACAGGAAACAGCAGTGTCAGTAGCTCTATGAATTATATCTACCATGGTGATGGCTCTTAGAAAGCCTGTAATGGCCCATGTGATAACTTTTATTAAATGAAAAAGCAAAGGCTCACTGTTCTGCACAGTGTCTCCCTGAGACCAGTGTTTGGAATGAGCACTGTCTCAGCACAGGAATGGAAACATCAGTGGTCCACAGCTACAGGACTGCCAACAGAAAACACACAGGCTGTCCTCAGCTTTCCTTGTCAAGCTTAATGTATAACTGATGTCTCACATTCTACAATGTCAGAGGTGAATGAAATCCTGCAAAATTTGCCCTTTGCTGTAGAACTATGTTTCAGCATCTCAGTTTTTACTGAAAAAAAAACAAACCCTACCCAGTTCAAACCAATATGTTTGCAAAGGATACTTCAAGCCACTGAAACAAGTGTGGCCATATTGAACAGCAGTTCAAATAAGTGTGAAGGGCCAGCCCAAAACCCTACATCTCTCAAGTGGAAATTAAGGATACCCAGAGGTCACTCTGTGGACCCTCTCCCTGAGGTGCATAAGGGATTTTTCAGAGGCAGGTGGCAGGATGTGTTGATGCTGAAGGTGCACGGGGACTGTGTTTCCATACCTTAAATATGTAAGTGGCACCACCCCCACCACCACCTCCTCCTGCCCATTCATTGACACTTCTGTTCACACGAATCTCTTCTTCGATCACGTTGTTCTCTCCGATGCAGACTTTCTGGATAACATCATTTGTCTGCAAACAGAAGATCAAGTCTGAATTCAGGTAAGAAACCTCCACTTCCTTGTGCACACAGAGGCCTCATGAACCCTTCACCATCCCAAAGCAAGAAATTGTCCTCCAGGGAGACTACATGACCAGAACCAAATGAATGCTCTTCTACAAGAATCTGGCTTTTTGCCTCAACCTTCACTAGAAGAATTTGTTGCCATTTTAATTGAATTATTTTAAAGCAAGCTCAGTGCTGATACCTATTATCATGTAATACACCTCCATAAACTTTTCATATACAAAATGGAGCAGAATTTGCTGCAAATATTTCCCAGCACTACCAGTATGCATTTCACAAGTGGAGGAAGGCAGTAACTCAGCAAGGATGTACCTTGTCCCTTTTCACACAACAGCCAAATGGCAGAGACAGAGAACCCAACTTTGTTTACCTCATTTCCAGTCCCGTTGGTTGGGCCAAGCAGTCAATGTGCATCTCTGATGATCTTGGTAGCAATTTTACTGCAACTACCAATGCCTACCAAAAGAGCAGCAATCCCATCTTTCACTGCAATGTTTTCCTGATGTCAATGAAAATACCTCACTAAAAAGCCTCCACATTTCCTACTTAGCATTTTTTCCCTTCCATCTATTGTCATTGAAGACTGAACTTTTTGTATTAGCCAAAGCCCTGAATTCACTAACTGATTTCAATCAAAACATTAAACCACCATTTATACCTACTTCAGGACTATGACCTAACTACTGTTTTGGTTTAAAATTGGAGCACTAAAGTGCATGACAAGCAGGAAGGATCCTGCTGTGAGCATTTTCAAGTTACAAACTTTGCTTCTAGCTTATTTTACTTTACAGGTTTTGTCTCAGTAAAACTGTCTTGTTATATTGCACATATAATGCACACTGAACTTACTAAACTAACAACACTTTTAGGGGAAAATGCATAAACATTTGTTGTAGTAGGATTGACCTTCTGCTTCCTTCTACTTTCATGTATATGTTTTCTTTTGGAAGAAGAACCTGATAAAAGCATGCTCAAATTACAAATTATTCTGCTGACCACACAATATATTCTAAGTTGTGCCAGAGAATGAGTGGCATCCCTTTTGTGTGCAGACTTGCCTAAAGAACTAACAGCCCTCCTTTCCCTGTTTTTTCCGTCTCCTTAATTGATTTGGAGTTGGGTGGGAATGATTAATAAAATGACAAAGTCAATGACCCAAAGGAACCACTAGATTACAAAAAAAATAATCCTTCATGGCAAAGACATAACTGATTACAATCCAATCTAGTAAAAGTCCCCTCCACAAGTCAATGCAATCTCTTTGCCTCAATGAAAGAATTACATTAGCACTCAATAAATTCTCACTAAGATTACAGTGGCCTGCAATTTAATGAGTCCATATATTACCCTCAGCTGGAATGTCCTAGTTAAAGATGCTGGATGGACGTTTGAGTTAGGCCATTTCTCATTTCAAAAAGGCTTTATATTAATGGTTTGTTTGTAGATATGTGTAATTCTACTTTCAACATTATTTACTTCAGCAGCCAGCCTTGAGAACCCCTTTTACTTGTCTATATCCTTCAACCTTTCTCTGCTCTTACAGACTGCTAAGCTTTCATCTCTTGGATGCCAGCCATTATCAGCTGAGAAATGCACATCATTTAGATGTCCAGCTCAAACCTGTAGGTGAAATTTCATCAGAAAATGCTTAGTTTGCTCCATGAGAGTGTCCTATTCCCACATTCTCCTCCAAAGAATACTTAATTAATAAACTTCTGTGCATGTAAATAGTGCCCATCTTTCTGTCAAGACATTTGCAGCAAGGGTTGGTTGGTAACATAAAAATCAGGACTGACCCAGCAATGATTGATTTGTCTTTCCTATTCCCCTATGGAAAATAACCAAGCAGGCCCTGTGATGTGGGTATCTCAAGAGGTGCAGAGTACATGATAATGGCAGGGCTGGGCTCAATAGTGGAACAAGGGCAAAACCCTGCAAAGTCAGCCTTGAAGACTGATTTCCAGAGGAATGGAAGGCAGTATCATCTTTTGTCTCCGAGGCCCCACACAGGTGCTCTGAGATACTCAGACCAGTCAGGAACCTGTTGTGTATTATCAATGGGGCCCAAATGTTGAAAAGAAGCAAGCATAGGGACATGGTGCTTCATGTTCTCATGCTCTCCCAGTAAAACTGTACCTATTTCTTGACTCCTATATCCCCAAACCCCTTGAGGACAACGTTTTTCTGTGTGAAAAGAAAAACTCCATGGATTACTAGAAGGGATGAAGGCAAAACAGAAAGGCAATCACTTACACTAGGACAAGCATCTTCTCCTTGCTGTCCCACCAAGATATACAGCGTATCATCCTTCTGCAGATCAAAAATTCCCAGCACAGACACGCCGTGGGACCGCACCATGGTGTTCTTCCCTCCTTTCCCACCTGCAGCTCCATAACCTGAGATGCTGCGGGAAAAAGAAAACAAAAGACTGAGTTGTCCCAGGTGGATGGAAGCACAAACCCCTTCGGAACAGTGAGCATTTTGCACATCTGAACACGGTGTCACAAAGATGTGCTCTGAAGACCTGACATTCTAAATAAACCTAAACCCAAAGCATGAAGACTGATTTTCTTCTCTGTTTGAATCTGTGAGCTTGGGTAGATACAAAACAGAGTCTTTCACATTGATTATTGGGCAAACACAGCTGAGAACCGAGCAAGCAAGTCCTTATAGTTTCCAGCTTTAATATATGAAACACATCTTGTTTCCCAGAAGGCACATCCTTGAGAAGTTTGCAGCAAGGAAGAGAAAGAACAGAAGCAGGAGAGTTGGTAAAACCAGGACATATGGCTAAAGAGAACATTAAGCAAGAGATTGACAGAGGGAGATTTGAGGAAGCAGACAGCATAACTGGTCCTGGTAGCATGGACCAGATGGAAAACAGCTCTCTTATTCCCAGGACCAGAGGAATACAGAAAGAAAAGTAGATGGAGATGACACTACCTGCGGTAAACAAGGAAGGCAAAAGCCCCCTGGCCAAACTTATGGTGGTCAGGAACATCTCCCTGTCTCCAGCCAGGAGTGGGCAGGTTACACAAGGGCTGCTGCAGTCTCAGTTAAGGCTCCAGGATTTTTATTTCAAACAGTCAAGATTCAGAGGTGCTTACTGTTGCTGCTGTACCCAAAGATCTGGCTGTAACACTGTATTTCTCATCTCCTCCCTCTCCCTTCTAACCATGGGCATACTTAAAGCAGCTTTTAGAAAAGGATTTCAAAGCACTTTTTAAAGATCATGATAAAACACACATTTCTGCTGCAACAAAACACAATTACTCAATTTTCTGAGCAGGTAGATGATGGTACAGCAACTCAGTTTAGATCTGAAATAAGCAGGTAATTCTCCACTGACATTAGTAGCATTCCATGTGTTTCTATGAGAGTAAAATTCCACCTGGAGCATTTAACCAGAGACTGCAGGACTCAGAACTCAAAAATTGCTCTCGGCTTCCTACCAGGCACAGCGTAGGTGCTCTGCTTTAACGCCTCCTTTCCTCCAGCACCTGGCTGCTCTCTGCCCAGCACAGTCCTGCCTGCAAACAGGCAGTGTCTCATAACACATATTAGATCCTGGCAATGTGACATGATTATGTTCACGCCACTGCTGATAACCAAAGCAATCAGTCCTCAGCTAGGCTGTACCAGAGCCAGCAGAAAAAGTGATGGACACAGCACTGGGCCACCCTGAACAGATGCTGCATGAATTTGAGAACTGAGTTGATTTACGGTGGAATTTTGCAATGGCTAATGAGGTGCACTACCAGGCACAGCAAGCTGGCAGGGCTAACTGGCTGCCAGTAGGGGCCATACTTTTCCATGTAAGAACAGATTTTGCATACATGCAGTGATATCAGAAAGTTCAGGAAACCCAGTCTGGCCTCACTCAAAGGCTGAGGACAAATAAAACCCAGTATACATTCAGGTGGCAGTCATTCCCTATTCAAAATGCTGTCACTATTTAAACAGTTATCTTGACTTCAAACCTTAAGAGGATCCCTTTCATTAGGAACACCTTTCTTTTAGAGGAGGACAGAAGCCATTTAACCACAGTGGCCCTGAAGAAAGGTTCAGCCCATTCAGAGCAAGAACACAGAGTACCTTCCACTGCCTTCCTTCTTTTCTTTTACTGTGACACTTGTGGGATCTGCAAAAGAAGCCCACACCTTCAGGAAGGGTCAGGATGTGCAAAGTGCAAACCAGGGCTGGAGAAAAACAGGCACCCTAACATCCAGGGTATGGGAAACACTGGAGCTAGTCTTGAGAGTATGAGAAAATGCTCAGAATGACACTTTTTTGCACACCACTTGGGCTGTGTTCTTGGGCCCAAGAACATGAAGGAATACAAAAAGAAACCTTACATGAAGGAACCATGGAGAAGAGAGGACAGTGGATGTGATCCCAAATAGGGCACTCACAAAATGGACCTAAACCTCTTCCTTTAAAAATGGAAAGAAGTAGGATAAAGGATGGTAATGTGTAATTTATTACAGTCCACTTCTTTCATACTTGGTCATAAGACCTAGATGACCAGAACTTCTCAATGCTTAGAAGGAGATCTGAAACAAAAAATATTCTTTTATATGTTTAACTTCATTGTTACACAATGTGAAGTCCCATGAGAGTGAACCAGAGCATGTAAAAACTCCAGTTTTCCAGTGTGGGCACTACAGTGTATGGCAGCCTACCCAGACCTTCACAGATGGGGTTTCCTGGGTGTGGTTGGTTTGTGCTGGAGAGTTTTGTGCAAAATTGAGCTGTCTGTATTTTAATAACGCATATTCTGCCTCATGTTCACAAAATCAATATCCTTCTTGAGCAATTACCAGGAGTGTACATTACACAGTGTAAAACACACTGAGATGGCAGAACATCAGCTTTCTCCAGAGCCCAGCAGCCAGCAGGAGGGTTTTCTCCCTGTGTCAGGTGTTTCAGCAGTGCCCATCAGGAAAACTTAGAGGACCCAGACTGCAGCAGGACCTGAGGGCAGAGCTAAGCACAGGCAGTAATTCCAGACTCTGGGAAGCCCTGGATTGATATTGCAACGTGACATTTTCCTAGGGCTATGCTATGCTGGTGGACTCTATTGCTCCTTCAGCAGACCAGAATCAGGGGGATGTCAAGTTAATTTAAGCCCACAATTGCCTCCTGCTTTCCCCAGGCTGTGAATTTTCTACTTTAGCCTTAAGAGGTGCAGAAGAGAATGTCATCCCTTTATATATATGTTATGCACGACATTATACATCAACTATCTATACAGAACTTAAAAGTCTGTTAGGTCATTTATAGGACTTAAATAGACAGGTCATGCCTGCAGGGCCCAGGGGTTGTATTGTGCAGCAAAAAATCAGCCTAAAGTGGCACAGGAACTCTGGTTCTTCTTGGATTCTGATATTAAAGAAATGAGAGTGCTGTAAGCTTTTGGGCTGTTCTGCCTGTTCATTTTTGGGCTGTGTTTTATAACCATATTTACTGGGTGGTTCTGAAAAATTCTATTCACCTCAGGCAAACTCCTTGTTGATAGCTGGATAAAGTATCATTAATGCTTTTTGCATTACCATCAATCCTTGTAGGAATAGGCACTCAGGCAGAACTTGTGCCTAGCCTAGCCAGTTTCTCAAAACTACTTTGCCCTAGACCTCTATTAGAGACTGACTTCTGGCCTCAACATTAGCATTCTTTTTCAATATAAAAGAAGAAAAAATAGATGGGATCAGAAAATTGTAACTGAAATTTGTTCAAAGCCTTCAATTGAATGTTTTGCTTTGAAATCCAAGATACCATCATTGGTTTCAATATGGAATGCTGCATAAAAACCACCTCTAGAGAGTCACTGGTTCAAACTGACAGTTCTGCTTACAAAATGATGCATGTAATAGCTTCATGCTACCATTCAGATACAGTGAACTACACCTCAATTGTACTTCTTTCCCCAGCAAGAGCAAAAGGAAAAAATGATTGGTAAAAATCTGATTAAGTAGTATTGAACCGTATCTGATCACCTCTCTTTGAAAACAACTCCAGAGGGGGATTTAAGTGTTAGAACCCTCAGTATCACAGAGCCTACCATTTAGGTGGCTGGCTTCCAAAATCAATTCTACTGTGGTAAGCCAGGCTTACAAGCTCAACTTGCTGTCTCTTGATTCAAAAAAGTGAAGATGCTGAGCAGAGGTTGAGGCAAGCTGTCCCATAAGAAATGCTGACACGTGGTTTTGCCTTCCACACCAAGTGAAGGGTGGGAAAAACTCATTCTGATCCCAGGGCTCCCATGAATACCAAATGGGAAATGCATTCCTCTTGGTCTGGGAAGGTGAAAATGCTTCATTTTCAACTACTGATAGAGCTCTCGCAACCTGTGACCATTTAGGCTAAAGATCTGTCTGCCTCAGAAAGTTTCTTCTTTTTCACCAAAAAAGTTGCACCTCCCAGGGAGCAAATCTGAGATGGGAGAGACTGGAAATCACAGGCTCAGTGATAAATAAAACCCCAGCAGATGTGGCCAAACTTCTGAATGTAATACTTCAAAAATGCCTGGTGTATCAGCAGCTTGGATTGTTTTGAACACAGATACATCACGACAATCCCACAGCTCCCTTACCTGTATGTGTTGGTTGCTGGTACTCTCCAGATCTGGATGCCTTGGAGAATCCCTTCAGCTCCCACCACCACTCGGAGCTTGGAGTTCCTGTAGGCATCGTTGCACTGGCTCTGTGTGGGGCCGTAGGGTCCACTGGCACCACAGGTTGTGAACAACCACTGATCTGAAAGGAGGAGACGGGCAAAGCATGACCCCAACACCCAAGGACCAAATAGCTGTTCTGCTCCTTCGCTGCTCTGCTTCTTGGACCAAGAGCAAAACCTGGCACTGAGGTTTTAACCCAAACAAATACCCCTAGAATTACTTTAAAAGCTCTGTGTACCACAGTATTTGACAGCTTTTCAGCAACATCTCCAGGAATCTATCACAACAGTAAACATAGTTTTATTTTTCCTAAGGCTCAAAAAGGCAAAGAGCACAGAGTAGAGAAAAATCCAACAGAGTCCTCCCAGTTTCAGGCTCTGCCCTCTGGGCTGTTAAGTGCTCATTAATAATCTCAAGGCTGATGCATTCTATCCCTTTCAGTTTCTAGAGACATTCAGTTATTGAATTTATTTTAAATGGGAAAGTAACTGTTAATTAGATAACAACCTGTAAACATAACACCATCACAGTGATTAAAACAATTCTATCCCTTTCAGTTTCTAGAGACATTCAGTTATTGAATTTATTTTAAATGCGAAAGTAACTGTTAATTAACTGTTAATAACAACCTGTAAACACAACACCATCACAGTGATTAAAACTTAACAATAGATTAATTGAATTTTGAATAATTGTTTGCTCACAGGACACTCAATTTAAGCTTCAGGAAGTAAAACATCTGACTGAGGCCTGTAAAACAGGCATCCAACTCTGCATTTTCTAGGCCAGATCTGTGGGTGTAAATCAATGCCTCCCTATTACAGCCATTTTCATCAATTGAAAGTAATGGTCCTGTACAAATAGATTTCTAGAACAAGGATTTGTTAATTTGTGTTTAAAAAAAATCTAATCTTAAAAATTTTAATACATGATGGTGGCAATTATGTCCTTTTCCTTTAAGATTCATTTTAGGAGCATTGTAGTCCCAAGACCACAATTTTATAAAACTCACTTTGTCCCATTTTCTAACATATCAGGAAATACTTAATATATAATCAAAACTAAGATCTAGATGGTAAATAAGCGGACAAAGCATTTTCTGTGAACATGACATGATTTATCAAACATACTTATTAATAATCTAATATACACAATCTAATAAACTCCATTAGGTAGTTCTACTACCATTAAAGATAAAAGATTTGGAACCTGATGTTTTTTCTACAAATGGTGTCGGTCCAGTCAGCCTTCCACAAGGCCTTCTCAAAGGGCACCATTTCTCCACCAGCTTCCACAAAAGCAATGCCACACGTGCAGATTCCTTCAGTGGTGATACTAAATAGCTCAGACAGGTTATTAATTTGACTCAATGTCCAGGAGTTTGTGAACTCAATGATCCTTGCAGATCCCTTCCAATTTAGGATGTTCTATGATCAGCTTGACCTGCTTCTTGGAATTCAGAGCTATTGTCTAAGCAGATGTGGTTTAGGAATGATGGTCTGCATGTGTCTGAATGAGCAAGGCCAAAAGTTCTACCACTGCTGTTACTGGAGAGGTTCACCCTCCAGAAATACAAGAAACACATTAGCTTAGCCAGAAAAAAAAGTCTGAATTACCTTTTCACAAACTAATCCTGAAGACCAGCTAAATTCCTTCCTACAAAAAGAGTTCAGTGAATGAAATGGATCAAAGAATTTGACAGAACTTTAAGAAATACAGCGACTGGTATTTCTGAAAAATTTTGGTAATACAGTGTTGTGCAAAATTACCACTCTGGGAAAAAAATTCCCAATCTAAGTAGTGCTGAGAGAATAATCCCATCTTTCTGAAAAATCTACACCACCCCTTCTCAAAACTCCCCTGCAAGGGTCCTCTACAGATTTTGTCACTGTTACTTGTTTCATTTACATACCAATTTCACTTATTTCTCCAATCCTTCTGCAGTGGGTGGCAGTATGAAATCTTAAAATTATTAGACAGCAAATGGAAGAATTTTCCTCTCTTCCTTTGCTTCTGATGTACCCACCAAAACAACAAATAAGAGGGTAAAGGCATGTAAGGAGGAAAGGTCTAGAAGTTACTAAAGCCAAATGCTTCAGTAGCTCTGAACAGTTTGGCACCAGAAGTTACTTGTGTTTATCCTTGCAAAACCCACCCCAAACCCAAAGGAAAACCTTACACTAGCTGGAAGAGGAGAGACTCATTCTGTCAGCTATCACAGTGATTTAACATTGCAATACCCCAGCGGGCTTAGCCACCTGCACTGAAACATATGTTTAGTATGGCAGGCAGGTAAGTGGAACAATAAGAAGCCACTTGGATGTCTCCAGTGAAATATCAAACATGTTCCCAAAGGTAGATGTGGGTGACCTTCAAGGGGACAATAAACTCAAAACATGAGAGAATCACAATGGAAAACAGGAAGTGATAAAACCTAGGACAGACCACAGCATGTGCAGACTGCTGCTATGGTTAAGCTTCACATTTCTGATTTAGTGCCTTGAAATAATACACCTTCCTTAGGTATCTCCCTACCTGACCTTGGCAAACTTGTCTCTAGATGATTCCACATGCAATACACAGCACAGATGGACCTGAAACTGGCTGCTCTTGGCTCCCACTGGGTTCCAGGGACTGGGGATCAGTGAACTACATCTTATTCCAAAATGCTTTGAAATGTCCCTCTGGTTCCTTAAAAGCCCTGGTTGAACAGAAGGAGAATGTCCTTCTGCTGTAGACCTTATGCCTTCAGACTCTGAACTGAAGCAACCAGAACAGCTTTTGTATTTTCTGCCCTTAGGGCAGACTAGAGGGGGCTCACTTCTAATGCAGAGGCAGTATCAGAGTAAAGGCAAACATTGCTGGCAATTTGAGATTAGTCAGTCTGAGTTTTCAGAGCTTGAGAGGATGGGAAAGGGAAAACCACAGTTATGTTATGCCAGGGAGTACAATGCAAGGAACCTGGAGATGACTGAGCACAGCAGGTTGGATCTTGGATTTCTGAAGTGGCCCTGTTGTAATGGATACAGTGGTGTATACAAGATTGTCTGTAAAGCCTGCCAAGTTCTGCAGGTGCTACAGCCAGTGCTAGCAAGAATATTTATTTGCTTTATTCAGGTAGACAAGAACAGGAAAAGATGTGTTTCAGAACTAGCAGAGCTGGGTAGTGATCTTTGCCCAAAATATTGCAGGGGGAAGTCTGGCCCAAGTGAAGTCCATGGAGAGACTGCATCTAATTCAAACCAGCAGGGATTTTAGTAAAACCTACAGCCAGGTGTTGCACGAGCTCCTCATTTGTCATTGCTGCACTGATGTGCAAACAGCCCTACTCCTGTTTATAAATACTGGAAGCCAGTCCAACATGGAACAGCTTTGTCACTGAATGGGACAAAGGAATAATGAATGTCATTAATATGACACAGGAAGAAGTTGCCTCTCATTTCAAGATAATTAGGACAGATGGATCTCAGCTACAATTCTGGATACAGACTAAAATTCCCACACTTCCCCCTCCCCAACGCTGTTCCACAAAGCCAACTCTCAGTGTGCAGATACAACAGCCCAAGAACTGAAACCTCTAACCCAGCAGCAAAACAGAGCACTGCCTGCCTTAATAACCCACCACTACTTCTTTAAAAGTAAGATTTCACTGCCTGCAAACTATTGATTTTCTCTTGATTCTAGAAATGACTGCAGCATGTCTTATGAGCTTGGAGAGAGCATTTCTACAGGTTGCTGCATGCCACAGCAGTTTACAGTAATTCAGTTTGAAGCATTATTTTGATCTCCAAAGACTAAAGCAGCAGCACTGAATCGAAAATCCTTAAGCAGCTCGGTGAGGAGCATAGATTTTTTCCATCTGTGAATAACTGTGGTCTGTTGCATGGTGCACAACACATCCCTCCTTCCTTCTGCAGTGTGTGGCAGGATAACACTGCCAGCACACACACTGGGGGAAGAACAGCAGGACTTTCCAGGCTAAACCTCTCCCAGAAACTAGCAGATTGTGGAATTCTGCCCAACTTCACACAAGTTACCTACATCCAGTGTCCAGAAACAGCTGAGCATTCCCATGACAAAAACAACAGGTAGCTTAATGTAGGGCCCCTGTGTATTCTGAAATTGCCAGCTGCAAGATGCTAGCCAGGTTTAAAAAATGGAAATTCCTGTTGGGGGCAGGGGGGAAAAGTGGAGATCACAGTGAGATTCAGATTGCAGCACTACATTTCATTGAATAATTTATACATCAGTTCAATTTGATAGAATCCTCCTTTTTAAAAGAAACATTAAAGAAGAAACATTAAGTTTCTGCCCCTTCACCCACTCACCTGCCCTCCTGCTCCCTGGCAAGCCCTCCAACACACTGGTAAGGTCCCAGAAGCAATATTTTGCCAAACAATGTATTTTTGGCTCTCTTAAAACAATTGAAAAGAAATTTCTTCCTTCATAACTTTTCTTTCCGTAATGAATTCACTGATTGATATATTTACACACACAGTTGCTCATCCTTTTGCACAGCAGAAATTCTAGGTTTCACACAGTTTGTCTAGATACATGAAATACACAGCAATCAAGCTGCTGGATTTCAGCCACAGCAAGAGGGGAATGATGTCCTGCTCTTGGAAAACAAAATGAACAAAAGCCCACAAGACTTAAAATGACTGATTTGTTTGAAGCTCTGATACTACTTGCAGCCCTAGGCAATGCTGCTGCAGGCGCTGTTGCAAATAACAACACTGAAGAGAAAACCACGGAGCAAAGCCTAAGGCACATTCGTACTTCTAACATAGAAAGCAATTCCACTGGCACGTGTACAGCTCACAAACTCCATGCCACAAAACAGACAGAGGCATTCTGGCTATACCTCAAGGGTCTAAACGTATTAACTGGCATTTGTCAAATCAAGCTGGTTTGAACCTAGTTTAAACCCATTGCCAACCAAACCTTTAGTGATTTGAGCAAATTGCCAACCAAGCACCATGGTACTTGGCTTATTTTGGAAACTAGAGTAACATGTTAGTGAAATGCATCAGTGCTTTAAAACAATGTGTAGATAGTTTGTGTAACTTGCTCTGACAA